ATTCTATATTTTCGACTTATTTTTTCACGTAGAATCACCCCATGTCCGATTTTATATAACTTTCGGATCCACCCTGTATATCAGTGCTCAAAATTGTAGATTGTCACAAACATCCATAGTCTACTTATGTTTATGTAGTACATTTATATGTACCTATGGGTCCGAATGGACCCTGTATTCGTCGGGGGAATATTTAAAGGAGTCACTAATAACGACGGGCGAGGGTTTCGAAAATTTTCGAGTAGCTCATAATTATTTCAGCGGAAAACTCGGCAACAATTAAGCGTGCAGTAATAAGCGGCGCTTCGTTATCTGTCCAGAGACGTGACTTTTTGGATTTTCGAAACTGTGCAGCAGGTAACTCGGCCGCGTGTTCGCCGGGAAACGCGATGCAAGAGAGTTAGAGTTAGATGGAAGAGGGGGGGGAAAGAGAAAGAGAGAGCGGGAAAGGGTAAAGAGGGTTAAAGCGCGAATACTCGTCAATTATGAAACGCTTCTCTCCATCGAGGGAAATTGCGGCCCATTAAGGGAAGTACTACGTGTCCGAACGAAAATGTTCAACCAACCATCGTGAAACACAAAAAGAAACAACGACGGATTGAAATTTGCGAAATTCCTGGCGCCGCGGCCAGGCCACGCGGAGAAACTCTTTCGATGGTCCGTTATTAGACTGCGGATGTTTATGCATTTTTAGCGTCTCTTAATACGAAGAATGCAATAAAGTAATGATTTTAATAAAATTTAATACTATTCGTATGTTATTACTGACGTAGTAAAGCTTCTGGTACAAAATTCAAATTTCTGATCGATTTTCATTTTGAGATATTTGTGGCTGAATTTGTGAATTTTTATAAACTTCCATAGTCTACTCACAATTCTCGAATGCTGTTACAGAATTGAAAATTTGACGGGATCAACAATTTTCTTGGCATTGAATTTTACTTTGTATGGAGTAATATCAGAATAATTAGGTGCTTAGGATTATACTGAATCATATAATTGAGATGTAATGAATTATTTGGTTTAGGAAATCCTTTTTTGAAGACTTTCTGAAAATGACGAAGAATCTGGGTAGAATTGTAAATCACGATTATATTTCAATTTATTTTTAGGCTGCATTAAGAAATGAAGTCAAGTTAATTGAATACTGATAAAAGCTTTAAAGCTTCAAATATTATTTCATTCTTATTAAAATTATGAAAGGTTACAAAACTCCAAGAATTCGATTTTACATTGTTCTTAGATTATCATTCTCTATTCTTCCAATATCAAAGTTAAATTTTCTAAATAAATTATTAAGGCCATATGAACATGGAAAACCAATCTAAACTTTTTTTTACAAACCATTGGATTTTTGTACCAACAAGTTCCACAATTACTGTCTACAGACTATTGTTATTCCCATTAAACCAAATAATATTTATCAGTTATTGTTGTCCACGTAAACAACAATAAATTAATAAATGGTTGCCATTAGTTTCACGGGGCTGAGTATGGTAAAAAACAAAAAACGATTTGTGCTGAACGAGCAGACGTTTTGTCTGGTTCCTACGAACCTTTCGGGACAATGCCGGATGCAATCGAGCTACAGAAATTCGGGGCGCACTGAAATTCGTTGTTTCGAGCTTTGTTTCCGGTTGTTTTCGTTCCGCCCGACCCCGAAATACAGCTGCGAAATCGAAGTAATTGTGAGCGAATTTATGAAAGGTCGCAGATGCTTGTGAACGTTCCTATTCGATTGCAATAACAATTAACCTGTATATACACTGCACCGAATGAAAACAAGTTATAATTTGTTAAATCTAATTGAATAGCGCTTAATTAAGTGACTTACTTCATAAATTACATAATTTATCACATATTTATGGAGATAATGGAGTATTCGATTGTAAAAATTGAGTTCCTTTTAATTACGTTTTAAACATTTTCACTGTGATTTTCCTAATCTGTTTTATTCTGAGTATTTGAATAATTAAACAAGGGTGCACTCAGTTTATTTTATCACTCAATAAATGTTTCCTTTCAAATATTCAATAAGTAACCATCTCAATTATCGTAGAACAAGTTGAATATCTAGTAAAAGTATTATTAAGATCATTTTTTACGTTTTTCTCATAATTTTAACGCTATGTTAACATTCACAGTATTTTACATTACTTACTGACACATTCGATATTAATAAAAATAATCATTTCGTAGACTTACATTTTTCTGTAACAATGGTTCCATCAAACCGTTAATCCAATCTACTAGATTTTGCTATTAGTTATACATAGTATTTCCTCTATTCTTTTAAAAGATTTGAAAACGACTTCATTTTTTACGTTACATATTTATTAATACTGATCGTAGCTGTAGTTTCTCAGTGAATATTGTTTGGTAATCCGGTTTGAGGATCCGTATCGTAGAACGCTTCGGAGATTTCGAATGCCGCGATCGCGCGACGCTAAACGGAATTGAGAGATCGCTGACATAGCCTGGATGTCAATGTGTAGTACGGTTCGGATGCCCCGAACGATCTGAATGCTTGTAGTCAGATAGCTTTGCTCGTATGGAGGCGGATCACAATGGCGACCCACGTGAACGTCGTTACGATTTTCTTCGACAACACACGTGTCACTCGACAATTTTTTTCCCAAATATTTTCTTATCACAACGTCCATATGAATGCTCAGATAGCACAACAAAATAAATATCAATGAACAGGTACAAATATAAAATACATAAATATAAAGTTCAATTCGTTAATAAATTGCTGAACGTTAAGGTTCACATTCCTATCAATAGAATCACTTCTCTTATAAATACACCACGGATATTTATGCAAAAATAGAATTTTATGGATTAGCTGCTCCAAACTGGATACAAAGAAATATTTGTTTACCTTCTTAAGGGTTCTAATAGGTTCGAAATAAAAGAAGACCTAAATGTGAAACTTTTTACTGTATCGAATTTTAAACAATAGGATATTTCATAAATGCATAAAATTCGCAGTTTACTTGTAACAACCTGATATATCGAACGTTCCTCTGGATTCCATTTTTTCTTTCGTTTCTCTTGTCGAACCGGACCGGTAAAAAATAATTTAAGAATTTAGCCTAAAGTATGGACCTTTCGGAAAATTTTTTTCCTCGTCTCGTCGCGGGAAGGTAGATAGAAAGAAAGAAAAGGAGGAAGAGAGACTGTGAGCGAGCTCTAGCCAGCCCGTAAAAATGGCCGAGCACTTACCAATGAAACAATTCGTCCCTCTGGTGCAAGCAGCGAAGTGTGATAACACCATGAAACTTTTACGGGTAAATAAAGACCACTGCACGAAATAACGTGGCCATCGTAAAATTTTTACAGCCTCGAAAGGAGCCCTTCTTTCTTTTTTCTTCTTTATAAACTCTCTCCACCCCAAAGAGAAGTATCTGGCAGTTCCGATGTTTCGGCCAGCCGATCGTCTTCTGATAATAAACTTCTCCCTCGTCCCTTCGTTCAGTTTCCATGGAAGTCACGTTGCTTGTTTGCGTTATTAAACACGATATTTATGGATAAAAAGACTGCGGATTTTTATGGAAAATTACCCCCAGTGTGGTTCCTCGAGCCCACACTCCTTTTTACACATTTGTTTTAACAAAAATTGTTTTTGAAAAAAGTTTTGTAATGTTTGAACATATTTTTGTGAACAACATGGCATAGGTATTTTTTTCATTGTATTTATATGTATATTTATAAAATAGAAGGTTGCGGATTTTATGCATTTGTCGCATACACGATTGTTTAAAATTCTATGCATTAAAAAGTTGAAATAAAATCCAATCATGCTTTCATATTATTTGGAACTTAATAGAACCCTTAATAAAGGTCAATATGATTCTATTTGGTTTCCTCTTTCACAAATTACTTTATGAGTATATTCTTTTAAGTCGTAACTCTGAAACTTTGAAAGTTTCTTTTTCTTAATCGTTGTATCTCCAAATACTAATAACCATTAAAAATTTATATTCATAATAAAATACAAATTTATCAAATATTGTAATAAATAGCTATTCAGTAGATGATATTATAATGTGCTTGGTTATTTCACTGCTTTCCTGCTCCTTTAATATTGAACTTCGTAAACTTTAAATTCAGTTTTAAAATACTGTATTATTCACTCCTAACTGTACTTACCATGCGCGAATGAAAAATTCAATTAAACGTCACGCTAAATCTCCGACTAACAAACCGTTGGCACGATAAACATTTGCCCTGCCAACATTCCCTGAACTCTATATAATTGAATCGTTTACACCCGGTAAAGTATGAAATTTGAATTTCATTAAATTCATAGGGTTTCTATACCGAGCGGTAGTTCGTTAATTAATAATATTTCGGTGCTGTTTGAATGTACATACACACTGTAAATCGTGTGTATATTTAATGGTGCGATCGGTAAATTTATACCTTTTCCACAGTGACTTGTTGGCCAGTTAGCGTAATTTTTCGCGACGTTTCGTCTCTGGATCCTCGATCGTGAAGCTTTTTTTTTCTCATGAAAGGTACACGTTTGCTGGTTTATTGAAATACCGGGGAGAAATTCATTGCTGGTGTGCCGCGGGTACATTTCGATTGAAATGTAAAATTCACGCACCAGCCGCGTGTTTCCGAGCGAGAACTTCTTCGTGTCTTTCCACGGGAAGGTTAAGATGCTGCGAAAATGCATTGGACGTCACGGCTCGGCGACGGGATTGAATCAGGAAATAAATCAGCGCGTATTGAAGAAACATTTATGCATTAATATATACATGTTTGTAAGTGTATCATTATTATTATGTGCATTTAAAACATACCGGGAGCGCCACGAGAAACCAAACACCTAGATATCTACTTGGATATATAATTATGATAGTATGTATCGGTACAGAGTTGTACCATTTAATGAGGGTAATGCACTGAGAGAAAATTCATTTTCTTAGAGATATCAAGATCAAAAAAGTTATTTTTCAATTCCAACACAAAGTTAATAAATATGTAATTACAAATTATTGTATCTATTGTATCTGTTGGCCCAGATATTGTTTCTATTCAGATTACTTTGTCAGTTCAAATGAAAATCTCGATCGTCGAGGAAAGAAAACGAGAACACTTAATTTTCTGTACAGACAATAATTAGACTTTATTCCCAGTTTATTCCCACAAGGCAGAAGATTAAAAGTAAATCATTATGTTGAGAAGTATAAATTAAACTATGTTGGTTGAATCATAGAAGCAAATGTTATATGACTGTGCTACTATCGATGGTTGCGTTGTATCTCGTTCCGTCGATTCCCCTGGCATAAGGCCTTTGACCGTTTGTTTGAAGGTAATATTTACCTGAACTGAAAGAAGAAAAAAAGAAGGGTTTGTTACAGGATTTAGAAATTCATACATTGACTGCCACAATAAAGGTCCAATGAAATGATTAACAACACCATGATTCTTAGATGCGGCGGTTATTCGCTGAGTTTGTATATAAACTTAATCGAAATTAAATGTTCTTCGTTATAGACAGACTTATTCTCAACCTTATTACAAATTTTGCTTGATTATTAACTACACGAATTAACTCATACTTGGGCAATTAATGTGTCGCTAGTAGGAAACCTGTTTCCAACTTAACTAGTACGTAACAATATCTAGGATACGTAACAATATCAGGCCTTGAACTGTAATCGAATGATAACAGTGAATATTCACCATTCCTTTATCAATAAAACTGTTAAGAAGTTTTTCAAAAAATTAGAGTAGCAGAATCAGATTAAACATATGAGATGAATTGTAGTGAAACTGTACATGAAATAAAGGGGGATATACTAACGCTAAAGCCGGAGGACGTTCACCCATTGGAATTATGTCCGATCTGTTACACGCATCGACCTTAAAGTAGTCATAACTATCACACTTCACAGCCAAGAAACCATTTTGGTTCCCCACAGCTTCTGTTTGTAAGAACTCAGCTCTGATGTGACTACACCCTATCTGTGGGTTGGCATAAGCTGTAAGGAATCAACGTACAGTAAGATCAATAGAATATAAATTATAATTTAAACAATCTCGTCAGACGAGATTGTATAACTCGTCATAAAACAAATAAATAATATCATCTACGGATACTATGAATTAAATCCTAAACACATAAAATAGATGTAATACATTTTTATATACGAGTTTCATAAGAAACGTTTTTAGGGATCATCTAGTGATGCTACATACAGTCTAGCTAGTGTTGGTAATACCGAATGTACGATGACTTCAAAGGTATAGATACCCGGAACACAGTTGATGGAGCTATTGCCTATACTCGGCTAAGAAACAGAAAAATACGGGAATAAAAAATTGAACCATCAATTGTGCTCAGCCTATCTATATCATTGTTAAAACCTACTCGTAAGCGGCTCCCAAATTACGAAGGTCAAGGGGTGTCCAAAATGGACGTAGGACATTCGGAAAAATCTGTGGAGCCGTAACGAGAAGTATTCCATGCTATTTAAAGTTCCCTGAATCTATGTCCGGGTGTAGTGCATCAAGAACTCTACGAACTGGTGTAAAGTGAAATTAAATCGAAGGGGATACGGTTTGCTCAACTTCAGACAAGATTTTGATTTCTTACGCTACGATACTTATCTCGTAATTTATTTACCGATCATCTCAGTTAGAGAGCAACCAGGTTGGCTTCTCGTTCCGCCGTTCGGATAAAATTCAACGCCACCGCACGGATACTTTGTTCCAAGAAATCCAGCGTCAGTATGTATACAAGAGACTTGTTGTGCGTCAGTGGCATTCAGCGTCCCCGTAATATCATTTTCAAACAGAGGTCCGGCCGGATCGAGACCTACCAGAACGATCATAATTTGGTTAGAGAGTATCATTTATGTATGGAAGCGTGCAGTTTGTGTGAAAGTTAGGAATCCTATAAGCCCCACCCTGTATAGGTTTTGTCGACACTCTCTGTCTCTCTCACTTTGACTGTAGGTCGCGAGCTAAAAGTAAAAAATTTTTACTGGGCCATTGGCCTTTTGTTTATTTTCACATACGCCTGAATCGAGCGACTGACCTACGAAATGTTTTCATTTTGGATCTTTGATACGTCGTTCGGTCAGCTGCGCCTACAAAACATACCTAAGGTTGCGGACGACAATTTTCGTATTATGGACGGAGTTACGCTGTTCCGGCATATAATTATACGACGGAACACCGGTTTCTGATGCAGTGAATAGATAACTAGTTTAGATAGTAGTTCTTATTGACTCATCCTGTATAATAAGTAGACTGCGGATGATTATGCATTTATAGCATTTCATAATTTGGGAAAGGCAATACAATAAATACATATGTATTATTATTAACATAGTAATGTCTGTAGTATAGAATTCATAATTCTGCTCCATTTGAATTTTTAGATATCATTGTCTAAAATGTTGATTTTGCATAAACTTCCGCAATCTAATTATAAGTAATAACGTTAAATACTTCAGATGAATATTTATAGATGCTACAGAATTATATTTTTTTCTTCCTTTGTAAATACATAGGAGAATCTAGTAATAATACAGCGAGGACCAGTTATAGTTAAGGACCATGAATAATAGCTTCATTGTGTTAGGTATACATAATACTACTTTATATATTCCACACTTTTCGTATCTATATCTGTATAATTTTAGGATAATAAAGCATAATATTAGTGACCTAAGACGATTTCTACATACCCAATATCCATGATAGTTGGAAATCTAGTAAACGACCAGCCTTCCCACAAATTTGGGCACCCAAAGAGAGTCCCATCAAATGTATTTTACTTTTGTCCACTCCAGCCGTCACCATATCCTTTATACATCCGGCTACAAGCATACCGACATCATCGGACAACGCAACTGACGTCACGTAAGGTTGAAGTGAAACGCAACCGTAGTCTACTGACATGACATTTTGATTCGTAGCGTTTAGATAGGCTGTAAAGATTTCAAAATCAGAAATTAAGCGTACGTTACAATTTCTTATATAGAGTAAAAGTTTAATTACAGACTATATTAAAATAATGTCAGTGATGTAATGATACTATAATATATTGGTTTATGCTTTAAATATTCTACAGGTACGGAAAACGAAATTGGAAGTTGTGATTCAAAGCTTGTAATCTGTTGTTTCTAGTTTTCTACTATCAATAATATAATTGCTCTAGAAATTATGCGCAACATTTCCACATTTTAAAAGATCAATAATATACTCGATCATTTTCTTGTGTGTTTTCGCGAAAGCATTTTTGGTTTTCGAAACGAACAATCTACAAAAGGAGAAATGATCGTATATGTATTATGATTCTTCCATTGCATGTGTGATCTGGTCAAACTCAAACGAATGCATACCTTTCATTAGGTCCACAACGGTAGGAAAATCTACATATTCTAACCAACCAGGGAGAAACATCATTGTCGTTTCATTCAAATTCATTTCTGACACAAGTTGCGGGCAATTCTGAATGTTGACCTCCTTATAAGACGCATCCCTGAAGGAAAAAATATTTGCAATTTCACGCTTGTGTTACGAACTTGTTCGTAAACCATCTAATGGATGAGTTTTAACCAAGTTTTCTGTATACCATGATACAAGGAATGTACAGGGTGTCTCCGAAAGTTATATACAAGCAGGCATGAGGTGATTCTACGTGAAAAAGTAACTCAAAAATATAGGATAACATATTTGTCATTCGAGACTTCATTTTCGAGAAAATCGACTTTGAACATTAACCTGAAACGCGCGCATTTGCCATGATACTAACAATAAGCAGAAACGGAAAGCAATGGACAGACGCGCTAACCAAGTCCAAAATTGAGACTCAAATGAAAAAAATTTGTTATATATTTTGTTTTATCTTTCTATGAGGAATCACGTCATGCCCGCTTTTACATAACAATAGTTTTTATATTCACTAGCAGGTATATTACATTCGTTAGAAACATATTAAGGTGTAAATAATTACTTAGCATAAAGACGAACGTTGACGCAGGTCGCGATCACTGGATAAAAGAGACTAGCTGCGAACAGAACTAATTTCAAGTATTGTTAGTAAGAAATATTGAAAGTATTTGCTAACTTACTACAAGGTCTCGAAACTGAAACAATTACAATTATAGATGTGACATTCTAAGAACTCTACTGTATACACACATTGGACACAAAGCATACTTGGAACAAACATGCTCGAAAATGTACTGTTCTTCCCTTTCGTTGTGCAATTACATAAATAATAAAAAATGGTCTAGAAGTAGTGCACCTCTTTAGAAAATTTCTCGATAGGGTTCATAGTCTTGACAAATCGTGGTATAACATTTCATTCTCTTATCAATGGAAATATACTTTTTTTCAGTGCTTACCGCTAAGCAGACCACAGCAGACTACAAGGAAGAAAAAGAGTCGTATGTTTGCCATTTTGAAAAAACAGAACAAGTCCTGCTTGCTATTCCAACTGCTCGGGTATATATAGGAATCAGATAATTTACACGTGAAGTCTATAACTGTTAAGTTTAGTATTATCTGCTAATAATTGTTGCATATTCACGCTTTTTATTATACTGAAGCTTTTTGTTAAAAGATTGCTAAATTATCACCACCGAAATTATAGTGTACTGTATTCGTGATAGTATCCGTTGGTTATATTACCGTTTCAAATATGTCCTGAAGTCCGGAGTAAGAAGTTTCAGTTTTTTTTTTCGATAATATCAACGACCATGACTAAGTATTTTTGCAAACACAGTAGATTTGGTCATAGATAGTGGAAATAAAATATAGCGCGTCTGTTACGGCGTGTATCGTAAGGAAGAAACAATTGCGACTCGTAACGAATTCCGTAGGCCGTAGTTAAAAGAACTGTCCATATAACTATAATATTTATGGATTTGTCGTGAAAATAACAATTGTTGTATTTACTTCAATTCTACATTAAAGTAATCTCAAACTTGTAAAGAGATTCGTTCAACGATTTCTACACAAGAACTTCCCAAAAAATCATTCATTTTTAGCCCGTTTACACCAGGCTCCCCCCTTAACACTTTGACTGCCACGTCACCCAAATATGGGTGACACGTACATTGAAAAGTGTCTGGATTATTTAAACACTGTTATAAAATGTTTGCATGAAATTAATATCGCAGTATAATTTAAAACAAGACCTACAGCCTCTATTAACTAAACGCAACTATTACCCTCAATTTATGACTTAAAAAACGAAATAAAGTGTGTCTGGCTACGTACGGCCTTTTTCACTGTGGCAGTCAACGTGTTAAAACACAAAAACTATCTCAACAGTAGCACCAATATCGTCCGATAATCCACATAACGAAATCAGTAACACCGATCAATCCCCAAAAACAGTCCTAATCCACTCACGGTTCTCATTCTGTTGAACACTCCACACAAAGCTCCAACACGATTCATCCGACACACCTAAAAGAGCATCGCAAGAACAGTCGAATTATTCCATCGTTTTATCGAGTTTCGATGATTTCGCGCGCGACGCTGCTGAAAGGGAGTCAATCGAAACCGAACGAGGGACCCGAAGAACGAGGGTAGTTTTCGCAGGGACAAGGGGGGAGGGGGTGGTTCGCATCGACACACAATAAAACTCCATCGATTTTCACTTAGAGAAAAGTCAGCCGTTCCCCTTTACATTTATTCGAGTTATCTTCGTTTGTCGCGCGCCCCCAGGGCCGAATGGCGGAGAACCCGATGGACGAGCTGAAAGAGTCGGTTTCTCTATCAACACCGCCATTTTTGCTTTCTTCATCCCTTAACCGGGCTGAACAAGAAACGAGGAGCACCAGGGGAGTGGTGCTTCGACTCATTGGCAGCGGTTATCGGGCAGCCTTATCTTTCGTGGGTTATTTATTATTACCGCGGGGAGCGTGCATTAAATTTCCATTACCCGTCCCCGGTACGCAAATCAAGGACCGTGTTGCGTAATTTATGCGCGACGCTGATTCGGCCGTCTTCAAGCCTGTCGATGCGCCCACCCTTCCGGCAAAGTGGTCTACGCTTTTCACGGGGACTTGTTAAGGTATCACCGACTTTTTTTTTCTCTCCCCCCCTGCCCCCTTCCCAGCGGAGATAAACGCGAATACCTCGAGTTTAGAGGCTCTCGATAGCGTGGCTGCACCATTTACCACACCGTTGGATTTGTTTTTCATCGAGCTGTTTTAGAGGCTTCTAATGTCGCGAGCCATCAGCGGCAGCGGGGAAAAGTGATTAGGAGGGGATTTACTGGAAGGGGGGTGGAAATGTTTGGAGGGTCTTTTGTGTTATGTTACAGGTACTTTGATTGTCTGTTAAGTGGATGGAAAGAGAATGGAGATCGTTATTTACAGTTTTTGAATTCCAAATTAAACTTTCTGCAAATTAAATTCACCCGTTTGCATAGCATATTCAACCTTTTGCAGATGAAATTTAACGTTTTGCAAATCGAATTCAATCTTTTGACATTTCTGAAATGAAAAGTAGTTTCAACATTTTTGCATAGAACAAAAAATTACGCGATCGGATTTGTCTTACTGTTTAAAATTAAAAATTGAAATTGAGCTTTGGTGAAAAAAAATTGGAAAATCAATATACTATTACTATCTTCACCAAAGCAAGCTTTTTTTTAATCAGAAAGCTTGATAATTATTATTAGCTCATATCTTAATACATGATATCATTTTTCCAGAAAATAATTTATTAGTTTCCAGCACCTAAATCTAAAAAATGAGATATTACTAATGACTAATCTATATTTTGTCAAATTCAATATTCATGTTTTCAAAATTCAAAACCTCCTCAATAATATTTCGGTTCAGTTTTTAATGCCTTCTGGTATTTTTCAAAAGAAGAAGAATTTAAATTCCATTACCCATACAAATTAAAGAAAAGATGGATTACTTATTCGTACGTTAAATAAATAGTTGTTACCTTTCTCGATTATTGTCAACGGTGAAACTGTAACGAAACGTTCCAATTAGTGGAACAATTCCTTTCATACGCAACGACTTAATGCATTTATCGATGTTACCAACGAACATGGTAACCCCATCATAACTTTAAATATCTTTTCACTCACGATCTTGCCTCTACTTCAATCACCGGTAATTCCGTTTCTCCAACTGCGTCCACGCTTATTAATTCATCTCTTATTACTTCGTAATGAAGAGTAAATTCAGTTCGTTCTCCCTACGGGGCCAAGTGGAAGGTAAGAAATGCTGTAAAAATGCAATTTATATAAAACGCATAATTTAATGAAGAGTAAATTCAGTTCGTTCTCCCTACGGGGCCAAGTGGAAGGTAAGAAATGCTGTAACACGGAACTTCAACGGAGGGTAAACAGCGATGCATCGAACACGGTGAAACGCGGCGTGTGCTTTAACATCGTCCTTCTTTTTTTTTTTTTTCGTTTTATTCCCTCTCGAACTTCGAATACCGCCACGGCGAAGCTCAACCTTGGGAATAAACTCGACACGATTTGAATATCTTCCTGGATATTTTGGACGAGGTGGCTCTCGACCGCCACCGGGACTGCCTCGACTCACTTATCCCGTAGCGTGGTTCTCGGCCAGCGATGACAACGACTTCAATATTGACTCGTGAACATGACCAATATTTACTTGTATTTGATTGTAATATTTCCTTGTATTTGATTGTAACTCGGGGGATTAATCACTTGAATTAGAATCTTTTCGTTCCTTGGTAAGTAACTGTTTTTGAATATCTCGATATAGGTAAATGTTCGTAGAGTTACTTGGTATTAACAAAATGATTATTGTATAGAGTAGGTGAGACGTAGTAAATAGTTCTATGTCAATGTAGTATCAAAAACGCATATTTAGTGAGATAAGTGTTATTGAAGAAGCTGTGGAAAGCATTAATGTCTCCTCCCGATGTACGCCATTTTGTCTTAAACG